ATTTATGAATGTTGATAAGAGTTCTTGCTTTTTCTCAACTTTTATTTTGGCGGAAACGCGCAGGAAGACCTCCATGCTTATTTTTGTTGACAACAGATTTATAAATGAGTTTCATTATGAATACGTCGTACGTATCGCATTGTCACATACCTTGTAAAAATTCATAAAATGTGACTGAGCAACTGACGACTGTATCAGTGCAGATTTTCCTCGCACTTTGGACTTTGAAGCAGATAGCACCGCGAGCTCGTGCAGCACTGTCAGAATACATGCAAAGCGCGCGTGTATTAGAAAACATAATGTTCTGCAGTTTATTTACTAATTGTTTAAGGCCATTTCGCGATTTCAATCATCATACAGTAACCAACAACAATTACCTCTTCCTCTTCTCATTGACATGCGATGCAGTCCTAAACAGTCTCTCGCTGTCGGTGCTTGTAATGAATTTTGCGTCTTTCTCCAACAGTTTAAATGCTTCCACACTGCTGACGTGTGTGCTGCATAATAAAGAGTGCACGCCTCTCACTCTGCGCTGGTTGCTATTTAATCGCGTCATATCATTGTTTGGTACAATTTATTCGGTCTTTTCTCTTATTCGGCCTTATAATTTTTTTATAGCTTTTTTTGCTATTTTCAGCCGAATAATTTCGGTTGCCGAACATTCAGTGCATCCCTAGTCTCTACATATACGGAATCATTTACAAAAAATTCTTACCAATACCAATAAATACCCTATTATGGAAAAATAAAATGCTAGATTTTATCAAATTAACCACGCCACTTAAATAAGAAGGTTAAATTCAGTTATCATTGGATTTCCAAATCCGTACGAATCTCTTTGGTTTACCTGCAATCTCGTATCTAATCTTTTCCATATGTAACACATAACTGAACTCCATAAGCCACATCTCAAATTTAGGTGTAACTCTTTGTTCCACATCTAGGCCTGTCGCAATAATCAATATATCGACTTAGCGCACAATATATGTACATGACCTCAATCATTTTTGATGACGCAATATATCGCCCATTATATTTACTTAAAAATTAATGTCACCGTGTTTTGTACATTCCATTTGCGCCTGTGTCTTTTGCAGCTTCTCGTACATAATGAAAAGATGCTTCTACAAAAAAGTTGAATCTGCAGATATGGTCTTGTTTAGGGATCTGTGCCTTTGTGCATACGGACATCTGACTGCTGAGTAGTGATTGTTTTTTTCAACAATAGCGTGCACCCTTAATTTACAGAGAAATGAAGGTCCGGGAAAAATCTGTAGATGGAAAAATCTCCATAAAAGTGCATTTTTTTTTTTTTTTTTGTACTTGTTACTTTGCACTTGTTGTTAGAAAATGTTTATTTACTATTTATTCAAGTTCTTTAAGGTATCTAATATTTTGATACTTAATTTCCATGATCTAAATATTCTAAAAAATTAAAAGTTTGTTGTCATTTGGAAGTGTGTAGGCCTTCTTGCATTATTATGCTGTTACATTATGATTATATATTCAGTGGCATAAAATGGTCTTTAAAATTACAATAATATCGCTTATAGCAATTATTTCTGGGGCAATATATCGCACAACAAAAAGTTGTTATCGTGACAGGCCTATCCACATCAACAAAATGTTCTTTTTTTGCTATGGTCATCCTATATTGAAAGGTCTGGATTTGATTGAAACTATAGAGGTTTCTTTTAAAATTGTGTATTTCTTCCTTGAGTTTGTGTCCATAACTGTTTGACAGCCTGTAGTGTTTGTGTTGGTGTGGTGTGACTGTCTCTCTGTGGTTTAGCATGCTAACTGCCTCTCATCTCTTGAGTTTGACCCAGCGTTGCCCCTCGGGACCGTCAACCTACATTTCTCTTCCATCATTCCTTCCAGTCCTCTTCTCACCGCCATCATCTGTCCCACTTACCCCTCCTTCAGCGTTTCTTCTTCTGTTTCTCCCTCCACCCCTAGTTCCCTGGCTGCTAATCCCTGTGCGCTAGCGTTAGTTTTGGCCGCATTTCTCAGTGCGCTCTGCGGACGTAGTGCTATTTTTACCCGTCACACTTAATCATGTCCTCTTGCATGTCTTCCCCTCCCTTCCTGTTACTCTTTCCTTCCTTCTACACACTGTACCTGGCTCTCAGTGCAGTCCTGTCCTATCATGATAAGATAAGAGTGTAACTGGTTCTCAAGGAGAATAACCTGCTGGTTAACATCATGTTAGTATCTGATCCTCAAAGTTTATATGTGTGACGAGGTGTGTTCCCAAAGCAAGGGATGTTTGTAGCTCACTTCACCTGACAATTTTTGTATACATATTAAATATAGATATATTTATATATTATAATTTCATTTGTAATAATAATAATTATTATTTTATATGTATTGTGGCATTGCAAGTGCATTAAACACTGTATTGTATTAGATTGTGAAAACCATTCATAGCTTGCTAACTTAGTCTTGCTGTAGCTTACAAAATATTCCACGGTAACCATACTTTCTGCCAGAATACCATAGTTACAACAGCTTTTGTTACTGCTGTGATGTGAGTAATGTGAGAAAGTGTGTTCTGGGTAGTTTCTAGGGTTTTTCTAAATGGTTTTGGCTTGATGTTTCATTAATCCTATCACTATTAATCTAAAGTAATATAATGATTTGAGAGATCATTCATGACTGTAGCACAAACAGTGGCATGTTCAGTGAAATGACTAAAAATTCTGATTCTGTTATTCAAAGAAAGTGTTTAAATGAAAAACTTTGTAGATTAATATTTTTATGTTAATGAAAAAAAAAATGGTTAACAAAATCTTACCATTTAGTTCATTTAACGTGGGACACATTCATTTGAATTAAATTTTATCGTACAAATTAGATTTGAACACATTTGAACATATTTTAGTTTTTTCATTAAATATTTAGAATTTTGAACAGCTTGAAATTATGAATTATTTGCTTGGGTATTGGCAATTGGCTGAAAAATATAGATTTATTATTATTTGAATTTTTTTATTTGTATAAATTAAATATTTAAAAAAATTAAATACATTTATAAATGTATGTGTTTTACTGGACAGATTCACATGGCTCACTTTGTAGAGTTAACCTGGCAAAGTGACCCGGTCATTTAACTAATGAGTCAAACTTGAATCCTCTTGTGTTCTTCTTTGGAAACTAAATGAATTGTTCTAGTCAGGTGTGCCTGCAGTCACAGATGCCCTCATGATTTCTTAAAATAATAAAGAGTACAATTAAATGGGTCACAATGTCTTTGAGATTAACCTGCTTATAGTCTTTCTAAAAATGGCTAAATATGCCTTGGTGATCAGTATCTGATGGATGTGTGGCAGTTTTTGTTTGGTGTTTGGAAGGTCAGTTAGTCCAGGGATTCCCAACAAGGGAAGCAGTTTCCAGGGGGACTTGAAATTTTTTTTATTTTCTAATAAACATCTAAAAGAGGATTAATAATATATTAAAAGAACAGTTCATTTTTAAGGAAAGAAAACACAAATAAAACAAGTATATATATTTTAAAATAATATTAGTGATAATGCTAAATGATTTATAGTAATACCTACAGTAAAAAGAGCACATTTATGGTTTGGTGTTGATGAAGTGATACTTGAGCCTTGCTGATGGATCTGTGAGTGTACATACTTAAAATTGAAGAAGAAAAACAACTCTGATTCATTTATGCTCAGTGTAAAGGCTCCTATAGGCAGGTGAAAATATTTGTGTGAACTTCTCTTAAGGTGTTTTTTTTGTGCGTTTTCTGTTTTTCCTTTCAGACTGTCTGTTCAAGCTGTGTCCAATGAACAGGTACTCAGCCCAGAAACAGTTCTGGAAAGCAGCAAAACCTGGTGGAAACAGCACCACAGACACTGTACTACTCAACAAATTGCATGTGAGTTCAATACGTAACATTTCAGGCTTATGCCTCCTCTATGGAAGCTTGTTTGTGCCATGGGATAAACAATAAAGTAATAATTTGCGACTTTTTGTCATGCAATATTACGTTTTTTCTAGCAAATCTGAATTTGTATCTCATAATTAGGATTTCTTTATTGCATTTCTGAGAATTTTGAGATATAAATTCGCAGTCTGAGGTGGACAAAAAGCAATTCAGAATTGCAATATGTAAACATGCACTTAAGAGTATAACTTGCAATTGTGAGATACAAACTTGTGACTATGAGGAAAAACGTTAGAATTGTGAGATAAAAAGCAAGAGTTACTTTTTCTTTTCTTTTTTACACCCTGGTGGAAACAAGTTTCCATACCCCTTTTTATGCTGCATGAATAAGATAGTATAGAATGTTTAATTAAATTTTGACGTAAGTGTCATTTGGTATTAAATATGACAGTAAATGTGGTTCAAGTTCATTACATATATATCAAATAATTGTTGTCTAGACCTTTCTTTTATGTAAATTATTTATATACAATATTTGTAAGCATTTTAATCTGCATTTTCACCTCTGTTTTTCAGCACGCTGCTGATTTAGAGAAGAAACAGAATGAATCAGAAAACCGGAAGCTGCTGGGAACGGTGATACAGTATGGAAATGTTATTCAGGTAAGTCAGCCAGCTGGCAGACGGGAGGCAGGGGGATCTCACTGTGTCATTGAGGTCTTGGCAGGACAGAAATCCATTGTTCAGTGTTATTTTAGTGTCTGTGTAATGGAGCTTGCATTTATAATTGTTCTACATCATTTATTATAATATAAGTCTGTGCCATGTGGCCTTGAGTATCTTCATGTGTATAGCTAAAGGGCTTTTAATGGGTATACCAGCTTTGCTACATATTGTTCTTTGCTCTATTAAAATCAGACATTTTTGTTTTTTTCATTTCGCAGCTGTTGCATTTAAAAAGCAATAAGTACCTTACTGTGAATAAACGGCTGCCTGCTTTGCTGGAGAAGAACGCCATGCGTGTGACGCTGGACTCTGCTGGAAATGAAGGCTCCTGGTTTTACATCCAGCCCTTTTACAAACTCCGCTCCATAGGAGACAGTGTGAGTGAAAACATACACAGTTTAAACAGATTTGATTTGAAATTGTACTCTCCTTCCAAACGTAGTGCCATATTTTCCATTATAGTGTGATGACAATTTTAGTTGGCAAGTTTGCAAAGCCTTGTCTACTTGTCTTTATTAATGCTTTCTTACTTAGATTTTAACTACTCAAACCTAACATGCTTGTACCATATGTAGATAAAAGTTTTAAGGGTCGGTGAATCTTTTAAAATATTTTGGAAAGGCTCTTTCAGCCCACCAAGGCTGCATTTATTTGAATAAAAATAGGGTAAAAACAGTAATTTTGTGAGATAGTATTACAATTTTAAATAACTGTGTTCTATTTTAATTTGTGCTGTCAAACGATTAATCGCGAAGTTTTTGTTTACATTATATATGTATGTGTACTATGTATATTTATGTATATATAAATACACACACACATACAGTATATATTTTGAAAATATTTACATGTTTATACATTTATATTTTATATATAAATATATTTAATGTATAAACAACATATTTTTCTTAAATATATACATGCATGTGTTTGTATTTATATATACATAATAAATATACACAGTACACACATACTGTATATTATGTAAACAAAAACAATTTTTTTGGATGCGATTAATCGTTTGACAGCACTAATTTTAATATATTTTAAAATGTAATTTATTCCTGTGATG